GACTCAACATTGCACGCATGTAAGAAAATAGTGATGATGGTTTCAGTTTTCTAACAAAATACTTTTTCATTTAAAAGATTTTGAAAGGAGTTCAGGTCTTTCTCTGTTTATCTGTTTCTTTCCTTTTCGGTTTAGTTTGGATTTGGTAAATCGTATTGGACACACTTATATACTGAATCATGTATCAAATTTATCAACATCGGTTTTCAATTTGAGAACGATTTCGGTTTATCTAAAGCTTCTGTGATCTGTAAAATATGCAGATAACTCTATATCCAAGACTATTGAAATGCTAGGGGCTACTACCATTGCTTCTACAGTGAGCAAACCGATTGCTCTTAAGGTACATCAATCTTTAAGCCATGTGTTACACACGCTTAAATAATTTCATTTCGGCATATTTGTAAAAGCTAAAGGAATCGAAATCATCTGATACAAAACATCGTTATCTTTCGTAACTGGAGATTTCTGAGGCGTTTTTCTTTCTTTGAATCTAGTTTCGCAAGTGGTCGGTGCATTCATCGCAGCACTCAGAACCATGTTAGCGGTTTTGTAATCACGAGATTTAACGCTCGTTAAGGCTTCGTTTAAGGAATCAGTAGCATCTGAATAAAGCTGGAGGCAATCGCGCAATGGCAACTCACTCTCCTTGTTATATTTCTTCTCCTTGAGAATCTTGTCAACAATTCCTTTCAAGCTCGCAGTTTTTGACGCAGCGTTCGCCGTGGATGCCATGACCAATCCATCGAGAGTTTTTGCGGTTTTGCTCTGCGGACTCCCTTCAAGAGACTTGACGCAGAAATCGTATTTGAATTTCGGGTTTTCAGCTGCAGCTTTCTTGCACGAATCTCGAATCAGAGTTTGCGCGGTTGCGAAATTGTTTAAGAGGAGAAAAAACATAACAAGGTGAAGCAAAAATTTCATTTTTTCGATTTCTTTGGGGAAGCAGAGGACTAATGAGAATTGATTGATGAAATTTTATAAATTTGTTATCCAATTTATAATTAAACGAAACAAAAGAATTTTTTACGCTTTGTTTATTAATGACATGAGACTGTTAAGTGTTAACTAACAAAACGGCTTCCTTTTAGAGTGCTCATGTTACGCTTTACCACTCCGTTTACTTCGTATGGCCTAATTGTCCGATTTAACACTTTGATCTTGTACGTCGTCGTTTTCTCGCTTCAAAGAATAGAGATTGTAAACATATGACGATTCTAACACTAAAATAGTGATAACCTCTTGTACGTCATCAACATTTTTATATATAGTGATTCTTTATTTTCAAGTATTAATTTAAAAAATGTATAATTCCTTCTGCTTATCGTTTAAAATAAGAAAGAATCATGTTCGATTGGTAACAGAAGTGTAAAAGATGACAGAAGACAGTGGGTTTTTTTGCTCTTAAGTTTGTTTATTGTAAACATGAATCCATGTTAAATAGAAACTTCAATAATTTCTTTATAACATATTTTTAAAAGCTCAATAGTTTCCTTATAACATATTTGTAAAAGCTAAAGGAATCACAATCTTCTGAATCAAAACATTGTTGTCATTTGTAAGCGGAGATTTCTGTTGCTTTGCTTCTTTGAATCCGGTTTCGCAAGTGCTCGGTGCAGTCAAAGCAGCACTCAGATTGACGTTAGCGCTTTCATAATCACGCGATTTAACGTTCGTCAAAGCTGTGTTTAAATCACCATTACCATCGGAATAGAGCTCGAGGCAATCACGCAACGGTATCTCACTACCTTTGGGGTAACTCTTGCTCTTGAGAATGTTGTCAACAACTCCTTTCAAGCTTACCATTTTTGATGCAGCATTTTTGGTTGAAGCTACGAGCAATCCCTCGAGAGTAGTTGCGGTTTTGCTCTGTGGATCCTCTTCAAGAGACTTGACGCAGAAATCGTATTTGATATTTGGGTCTCTAGCCGCAGCTTTCTTGCAAGAATCTTGAATCAGAGTTTGCGCGGTTGCGAAAACATTCAAGAGGAGACAAAACAAAACAAATGAAACGAAATATTTCATCTTTCCTTTTTTTTTTAATTTGTTTCTTTGGAAAAACAGAGAAATGAGAGAACTGATTGATTGATGACGAAAAAGATGACCACAAAAAAATAGAGAACTGATTGATGAAGAAAAATGTAACTTTGTGATCCAATTTATAGTAAACTAAAACAAATACTAATACTTGATTTCCATATAAAACAGTAAATTTAGTCAACTCGTTTTTAGTGTGTTTCCCAAATTCCAAAATGAGAACTCTTCTATACCATTATGCCATTTTCATCAATACTTTAACAAATAAGTAAAATTTATTAACTTTTAATATTTATTTTATTTCCTAAATCATCTTCTTCTTTTTTCATATTGGTCAACATGCAGTATCTGTTTCAC